CCACACACACTCACACATACACACACCACGCACACAGACACACACAGACACCATACCATACACACACATACCACACACACACCACATCATACACATCCACACACACCACACACTCACACACACACCATCCACACACACACACATAGACACCACACCATACAGACTCACACACCACACACACAGACACACACACCACACCATACACACACACCCCACACCACACACACATACACACACACACCACACACAGACACACACACAGACACTACACCATACACACACACACACCACAGACCCACACACACTCACACAAACCACACCAGACACATCACACACTCACACACACCACAGACACATAAACCATACCACACACACCACATACACTCACAGATACACCACACATACACACACCATACCATACACACACCACATACAAACATACACTCACCACACACATACCATTCACATACTCACCGACACACACCACATGCAAACTCACACATACCACACTGTACACACATACACCACCCACACAGAGACATACACTCACAGACACACACACCACACACATCACATACACCACACAGTTGCACACTAAACACACACACACGCTCACATAACCTCAGACTACACACACAACACACACATTCACATATACCACATACACTCACCACACACACCACACACACATACAGCACACACACTTGCACACCACTTACAATACATTCACACACCACACACTCACACACCACACACACAGAGACCCATACCACATGAAAACTCATACACACCACACTATACACACTTATACACACCACACACACAGAGACATACACTCACAGACACACACACCATATATATCACACACCACACACAATACATTCACACACCACACACACGACACACTTGACACACACATACACCACACACACTACACATGCATATACGACACATACACTCACACACCACACAAGCACTCACTACACTCACAGACACCACACTATACACACCATTTACCACACACAGAACACGCCACACATACCACACACACACTTTCACCCATCACACACACACACACACACACACACATACACACACGGGGTCTGGTCACCAGGTAGGCCTCACGTCTCCTCCACCAGACACAGTACACCAGGGGCTCTCGAGTGCTGGCTGGAAGATTCTAGAAGGCAGGTTTCTCTCTGCCCTGGGAAGATTTTGGGGTGACGTCTGGGCCAGCAGCTGGGTCTCTCACAGATACACCACACATACACACACCATACCATACACACACACACCACTCACACAGACACACACATGTGACCTGCCACGTGCCTGGGATGGCTCAGCGTTTGGCTTGGAGTGGGCAGAGCTGAGCTGGGACCCACCTCTGCACCCGCGCCCCAAGTCAGCCCCGTGACCTGGGCACTGCTGGACTCCCTGGGTCCTGGTGTCTCCTCCACGAAGGAGAATGTCATGGGGCTGTGGTGAGAAGTGACACAGATGACGCCTAGAGCCCTTGCATCATTGCCTGATGGTGGTGATGATGGTGATGGTGGTGGTGATGGTGGTGATGGTGGTGATGGAAATGGTGATGGAAATGGTGATGGTGGTGGTGATGGTGATGGTGGTGATGGTGGTGGTGATGGAAATGGTGATGGAAATGGTGATGGTGATGGTGGTGACGGTGATGGTGATGGTGGTGGTGATGGTGATGGTGGTGGTGATGGTGGTGACGGTGATGGTGATGGTGGTGGTGGTGGTGGTGACAGTGATGGTGGTGGTGACGGTGATGGTGGTGATAGTGATGGTGATTGTGGTGGTGGTGATGGTGATGGTGGTGGTAGTGGTGGTGATGGTGATGGTGACGGTGGTGGTGTGATGATGATGGTGATGGTGGTGATGGAAATGGTGATGGTGATGGTGGTGGTGGTGACGGTGATGGTGATGGTGGTGATAGTGATGGTGATTGTGGTGGTGGTGATGGTGGTGGTAGTGGTGGTGATGGTGATGGTGACGGTGGTGGTGTGATGGTGGTAACAGTGATGGTGGTGATGGTGACGGTGGTGACGGTGATGGTGATGGTGATGATGGTGATGGAGATATAGTGACAGTACTGGTGGTGATGGTGGTGACATGGTGATGGTGGTGGTGATGGTGATGACAGTGACAGGGTGATGGTGGTGACATTGATGATGGTGATGATGGTGATGGTGGTGACATGGTGGTGACATGGTGGTGACAGTGATGATGGTGATGGTGGTGATGGTGATGATGGTGGTGGTGGTGGTGACAAGGTGATGGTGACAGTGATGATGGTAATGACAGTGACGGGTGACAGTGGTGGTGGTAGTGATGATGGTGATGATGGTGATGGTGGTGACATGGTGGTGACAGGGGGGATGGTGGTGGCAGTAGTGGCAGAGGGAGGTCTGGGGTATCGGCCCTGGGTGGCTCAGCTGGGCTGTGCGTGCTCAGGCTCCCGCCTTCCTGGGTTCCAGAGCGCCTTCTCCCCATGTCACATGGCCTCTTCACAAGGCCTGCAGGAGCGAGCAGGGGACATGGCAGTGGAGGTGACAGACGGCAGCCCCTGCTCTCTCACAGCCTTAGTTCAGGGTGGGGAGGCAGACACCAGGTAACAGACATAAAACAAGTGCTGTGTGGTTTCTTGATGGCAATGAGCAAAGTCTCTCTGCACTTCACGGAGAGAGGAACCGAGGCCCAGGAGGCCAGCAGTCAGGAGCGTGTGTGTTCCAGGCCCAGGGGCCTCTGTCCTGCCCCTGTCGTGGAGGCGCCATTGCTTGGTGGGCCCATGGGGGACAGAGCGTCAGGGTGGGCCCCACCAAGAGGAAGGGGACTCTGGGACGTGGAGGCAGCTCTGACTCTGGGGTCCGATGGACCTGAGTTTGAATCCATCAACGCTGTCACCTAAAATGAGCCTTCGTGTCTCCGAGAGGCTCTGTCTGCAGACAGGGGGGAGCCCAAGTGGGGTCCCAGGAGCCAGTGCGGCTGTAGGAAGCTGCAGGCGGTGCTGGGCTGGGGCTGCCACTGGGGCCCCACGAGGCCAGGTGTTCCCACATCTGGTGGTGGTGATGGTGATGATGGTGGTGGTGACAGACCGCAGTCCCTGCTCTCTCACAGCCTTATTTCAGGGTGGGGAGGCCGACACCAGGTAACAGAGACCAAAGCAAGCGTTGCGTGGTTTGCTCGATGGCGATAAGAGCTACGGAAGACCAGAGAGAGGAGTGGGACCGCGGGGTCTGGCTGCTTCTCTGGAGCGTGGGCTGACTGGGGGCTGGTGCCAAGTCTGGCTTGTTCACCAGCAGAACCTGCACACAGTAGGTGCACAGGAAATACTTTTTTGGACAGATGAATGATCCAGCAGGGCCCAGGAGAGCAGGACACAGATGGCGGGAGGCCACCTGTTTCAGTAGGAGGGATGGAGCGAGGAGGCCGCCCACCCTTGGGATGGAAGAGGCCCAGTCTGGCCAGAGTGAGAGGCCCATGGGGGACGTGGAGGGCTCTGAGGGAGGATGTCCCTCTGCCCGGGTGGTTGACATGCGGCTGACCAAGCTGCCTGGGAGCTTATGTAAGGCCCCTGGCTATTTGTCTGGAGCCAAGAGTAAAGCCCTGAGCTCAGGAGAAAAACTCTGCCTCCCTGACCAGCCAGGCGGAGTGGCAGGAAGTGCCAGCTCCCTGCCCATTGCCCCCGGGATCCAAGTGTCCAGACGCATCAGCTGCAGGGGCTCAGTGGTAGCCTGCAGCTGCCGGGAGTGCAGGGTGGGTGGCAGGTCGTGGGGCCTCTTTGCTCACTCTCTCTGCCCAGCCAGGCACTGCCAGGGCTCTGGGGCCCCGGGGACCCTGGAGGACAAGGTTTTAGGGCCTGGTAACCTCCTGAGTGAGGTGTAAGGGGCAGGTCCTGGAGAAGCTGTCCCTCCCCCCCAGTCATGCAAACCTGGCCAGGCCCCTGGGAGTTGTCACCAAGTGGGTCTGGAGGGCTGGCGCTGGGTCCTGGGCTCACACACCGCCTCCCTCTGTGTCCAGCCCAGTGTGGCCTTGGAAGCCACTCTCTTCTCCGAGCCTTGGTTTCCCCACCTGCCCGATGAACACAATGACCTCCTGAGGTGGCTGGGAGGGTCCGAGGAGCCCAGGTGGCAGAGGCGCCCTGGCTTGGTCAGACCAGTTGTGTGGTCAGCAAGGCCCAGCACCAGGTGACTGCCGGCCTCAGTGAGCAGTGACCATTTCAAGTTTGTAACGTTACAGCAAGTACAGCTGCTCAGGTCACAGACCCGGGACACCGTCCCTGACTGGAGTGTCTGTCCTGTCCCCTCCCGGCCTCCATACGGTCCCCATCCGTAAACCAGAGCGGTTGGTCTAGACTGTCCTCAGTTCTCAGCCTTGTGAGGCAGTGGGGGGTCCCCAGGTCTCGGGCTCCCTGCAGGTCTCCCTGAGGTGCCCCTTCCTTGGGGAGCCGCCCGGGAGTCCCTCCTGGTCTGCTGGGGTCCCCCAGTGTCTGATGCCACAACTCCCCGGCTGCTCCTTTGCAGCACACGTTGTCCTGATGTCATGTTTACAATAATTTCCTTCTTTTTCTTGCAAATTCCCTTTCCTCTCCATGCTGCAATAAGTGCACCACTCTCGTCTTTTATTTTTATTTGCAGTTTGGTGCTGGGGTTGGAACCAGGGCCCTGTGCTAAACACACACCCCACCACCCAGCCACACGCGAGTCCTGGCTGGGGGCAGCTTGGGGTAGAGCTCTTGCTAGCATGTGCCAGGCCCTGGGTTCTGTCCTCGGCGTGGGGGCAGGAGGGCGCTGGAAGGAAGACTCAGGCCTGGCACGTGACCAGACATGCCCCGGGACTGCCCAGCGGTCCACTCTTCCCTCATCCTCACAGCCGGAGTGAGGGCCCGAGCAGGGATGAGCAGTGTCCCCTCTTGGGGGAGGCAGCTGGGGGCGGGTGCCAGGCCTGCCCCCCACGGGCCACCCTCTCTGCTCCCCCAGGGCGCACCCCTCAGCGCTGACATGGCTGAGAGCACCCCGCCAGCCTCCTCCTCGGCAGCAGCTCCAGCCCCTGAGCTGGGAATAACTGCACAGCCAGGGCCCCAGAGCCCCCCGCCGTCCCCTCCCGGCCTGGAGGAGCCCCTGGATGGAGCCGATCCTGAAGTCCCCCACCCGGACCTGGCGCCAGTGGCCTTCTTCTGCCTGCGACAGACCACCAGTCCCCGGAACTGGTGCATCAAGATGGTGTGCAACCCATATCCTTTGTGGGCCTGGGCTGTTCCACCTGCCCCGGGGCCACGGGTGGGGACAGGGGAGGTAAGAGAGTCCTCTCCAGTGAGCCTGCCGGCCCAAGTCCTCGCCCCCTGCTAGAAGGCCTGAGGCCTTGGTGGTGGCAGGCGGGCTCCGATGGTCGGCAGGGAGGCTCGGGGCTTAGGCTTGGACAGATGAGGATGTGGTGTCTTGCTGATAGGAAGGTTCTGGAAGTTGCCAGTGGCTCAGCCAGTGCTTTGTGTGAGGGGCTGGGGACGCAGATCCGTCAGACCCTGGCCCAGCTCCTGGCCACTGAGCCATCCATGGTGGGTGGTGCCCACAGAGATGGTGGGAGCTGTGTCCAGGGCTCCTGAGGGGTGGGCTGGGGACAATGGATCCCCTGGCGAGTCCCCTGCTGCGGCCTCTGGTGAACTCATGCCACTCCTGGCTTGAGACCTGTCCTCACGGTTTTGTGCTGCGGTGGCGGACTACCTGGGGCCGGACGGTTAGAGTGAGATTCAGCGCTTACTGTGGTGGGTCTGGGGGGTCTGAGGCGGAGGGACCGGCACAAGGCCTTGGTGCAGCGTCATCCTCGGGCAGCAGAGAGCGAGGGGGACCCGGCCTGCCTTGTAACGACCCGCTCTCGCGATGACCAGCCAACTCCCTGGGCAGTGGCACTGGCCCAGCCGTGAGGCTAGAGCCCTCTTGCAGGATCCCCTCTTTGAGGTCCCACCTTTCAGCTCTGCTGCACTGGGGATTAAATTTCCAACTCATGAGTGTTGGGGACACATTAAGACCCCCACCCCCAGTTCCCCACTCCCGCGGCCGGAGCACAGTCCTAGCCCTCCTGCCGGGCCCTGCGCCTGCCCATGGGCCTTGCTCTCTCCACTCTGCTCCCCTTGGGTCCTGGGGCCTCAGAGCCTCCCCCAGTGCTCTTCCCTGGTCTGAGATGCTTTTCCCGCCCCTCCTCGCTTGGCCAGCGCCCTTCAACTTAGAGCTTCAGTGTCACCTCCTCCTGGAGGCCCTCAGGGATTCCCCTCGGGCCTCCGTGGTGTCAGCTAGCTGTGGAACTCAGCATCCTCCTCCTGGGTGGTGCCGGATGGCGGGCAGGGCCGGAACCCTCTTGTCCACCGCTGGACACTTTGGGGCCTGGCACATGGTGGGGTCCTCCGTGTGCTCTCTGGATGCGTGGACAGAGTTGGAGCTGGGCCTCGCTGAGAGGGAGGTGGCCAGGTGGGGAGGGGGTGCTGTGGTGGTGGCACCCCTGCTGGAGAGGGAGGTGGCGGGAGGGTGGGGGGCCCTGGCAGCCGCAGGAGGCGCCACCTGGGCCCTGAGAGCAGCGGGGGGCCGCGGGCAGTTTGTGCTGGGACCTGAGCTTGGGTGTGGGGCTTGAGACCGGGGCTGCTGGTGGCCTCCTGCTGGTGCTGGAGCCACCCAGGGAAGGTAGGCTGCAGGGTGAACCCTGCGCTAGGCTTGGGATGCCCGGGAGGCAGGCGGGTGTCGAGGCTGATCCCGGAAAGGAGGCCGCTGTGCCCGGCCCAGGTCTGCCCAGGTCTGCCGGCCTCCCTGACCATAGGGGCGGAGCTGATGGTGGGCCCTGGGCCCCCAGCTCCTGGAGGCCAGAGGGTCCAATGTCAGGGAGAGGAATGCAGAGTGGGTGACGGTGGCTTTTGGGGCCACAGGCCTCGATGCTCCCTGGGGACGGTCAGGGGTCTCGGACGAGGTGAGGCCTGGCAGGGCTCACCTGGGGCTTCGTGGTCCAGGCTGCCTGGGCCATCCCAGGATCTCTTGGCCCCTGGGCACTAAGTATCAGTCCACCAGTCCCTGGGGACCCAGAGGACAAAGAACCGTGTTCCCGGGACTCCTGGGAGTGGCAGAGGCAGGTGCCACCCATGGAGAGGTTTTACTACAAAGGGTTGGGGAGACTTGGGGGTGTAGAGCGTAAGCAGGGGTCGGCCAGGCAGAGGAGGGGTGACTGCAGTGGGTTTGGGCCTTCAAGGAAGAGAAGGCTGGTTGGAGGACCAGGGAGATGGTGGGACAATGTCACAGTGGCCAGGGCTGGGCAGGATGAAGAGAGTGGATTTCGACTCTGCCCCTTGGGTGCTGTGTGACCTTGAGTATGTCTTTCACCTCTCTGATCAGGATGATTATACTGTAGATGGCCTTGGCCTGGGAGTCTGACTGCAGGGCTGGAGCAGCACAGAGCTGGCCCAGGTGGCCCAAGTGGACCCTCGAGGTGCGTTGGTCGAGTTCTGTGTGCCGTGTGTGGCTTTGGGCAGGGCCCTCTCTCTGAGCCCCGGCCTCTCTGCCTACGATGGAGGGGCCAGACGAGGTGCCCTCTTCTTGCTGTGGGAGCCTGGGGGCCAGCCATGCTCACAAGGAGGATGGTGCCCGTGCCCTTGACCTCAGGCAGCCTGGCCCGCCCACGGCCATCCTCAGTTTTCTACCTTTCTGACCTCCTGGGCCAACAGAGCCTTTGGGTCACTCTCCCTGTCTCCTCCACCTTCTGAGCCAGGCGGAGGAGGGTGACTGGGGTTGGGGACCACAAAGGGGCTGCCCTGGAAGGGGGAAGGGAGGGGTGCCCCAGAATCCCCACGGTCAGAGGCTGCTGGCCCCCCTGGGCTGGAGAATGGAGGTAGCTCAGGCCTCAAGCAGAACTTCAGACCAGGGAAGTGGGCATTCCCAAGTGCCCGCGTGGGAGGGCGTCAGGGCAGGGCTCAGCTGGGGCTTCTGGGTGACTCGCGGTGGCAGTGCTCTGTGGCCCATCCCAGGATCTCTTGGCCCCTGGGCACTAAGTCAAGGTGACCACCGTAGCTGACAGGTCACATGTCCAGACCCTGCAGAGGAAGCTGCTGCTCCCGCTGAGGCCGAGCCCAGAGGAATGGCAGACGTGGGCGAGAGACCAGCAGTGGACACCTCCCCTGGTCCTTGTCAGGGTCAGGGGTAGGGCAGTGGGGCATCCGCCCCCGCAGCTGATCCTGAGTTTGTGTCCCTGGGGCTCAGGGGTCTGGCCCAGGGCCAGCTGCCCTTTGAAGCTTGGTGCTTCCTGACTCAGGGCCCTGAGTCACACCTGACTCACAGAGCTGGCAGGCCACTAGGAGCCTCCGAGCTTGCGAGCCGGGAGGGAAAGGTTCACTCGCCCAAACGTCAGCACCACTCCCTGCCCGGCCTGGGCCTTGGCTTGTGCCATCGGCTGGGGATTCGCTGGGAGGCCCCCGGGTTTGAAATGCCAGGGGCTAGACAGCACAGTTTGACTCACGGCAGGTGGCGTGTGGCACTGTGAAAAGTGCTGGGCACTCGAGTCAGACAGACCCCGGGGGCCGGTTCTGCCTCCAGTTGCTCTGTGACCCTGGGTTAGTTTCTTAACCTCTCTGAGTCCCAGTTTCCCTGCCTGTCCACAGAGGACAGTCTCCGGGCCTGCACCGAAGACTGAAGCAGTATGAGGGACTGTGACCACGGAGCTTGGTAGATGAGACAAGCAGGGCATACATGTGGCTTTCGCTGTCGGGAGAGCCCGAGGGGGATCAGCGCCCTTACGCTCTGCTGAGTAGACACTGTGCCTGGGTAGATTCAATAAGACTCTGGGCGACAGGGACCCAACACCTTCCAAGGACATTGTCTCCAAGGAGAATCGGATTCGACCTGTTATCTAGGGGAATTGGTGGGAGCTTTGCTGCTGGTGCTGGCCGGTCAGTGCAGACATTGCTAATCGATCCTGGCACCTGCGGCGGGCGGCCCCGGCAGCCAGGACTGACCAGCTAGGGACCCATTTCCCACCCTCGCTTAGATCCCAGGGCCTTTCTCAGGAGCAGAACCAGCTGCAGTTCCATGTGGTCTCCGGGAGCCTCCGTTTCAGGGTCCGCGGGAGGCTGAGGAGGCTGACCTGACCTTGCCTGCACCGTCCCTAAAGCCCCCGCGGTCTCCCCCTGGGACCTCACCCCAGTTTACACCTGAGAAAAGTGAGGCTCCGAGAGGTCGCACTGCCAGGATGTGATGGGGTTCCCAGGCCCCCAGCGTGCATGTGCCGGGGTCAGTCCCTGGGGTTCGCAGTCCCCCCACCCCGTGTGCTGCTGGGCCGGCCTCCTGAGTGACAGCGCTACAGAGCTCTGCTGCAGCGAGCCAGCCACGCGTGGTGGGGACGCCAGCCAGCTGTGACACCTCCTCCTGCTCTGACCAGCTGACTAGGGAGGGTGCAGCCTGGGCCTGACGCGGGAGCCCCGCTGCCCAGTGACCTTGGCCAAGTCACTCCCCCTGGTGCCTGGGTTCCCGGCCTGCAGAGGGGCCCAGCGGCTGCGAGGTCTGGGAGGGCCGAGTCCCCTGCCATTCTCCTGGGACGGGCTGCGCGCTCTGGTTCCCGCCTGGCCCTCTGCCTGCTCCTGGCCGCCGTTCTCCCCAATCTCCACTGCCGCCTCCTGGGGCCCTGGTCCACGGGCTGGTGGCCGAGAACCCTGCCTGGGACTCGCTGACCTGGCCCATCTCTGGGAGGGGCAGGGGCAGGGCCCATGGCGTGTCCAGGGCCCCGGGAGCCAAGTCTCGCGTCCCATGCAGCTGGCGGGTTGCCCAGGGACGAGGGCCCCACCCGCCTCCCTTCCCGGGTCCAGTCCCTCAGCATCACTGGGTCTTTGTCCCTGTGTGACGTCCTGTGGCCGGGACGTGGCTCTGGCTTCTGGGAGGGAGGACAGCTGGGTGACCATCATGAGATGGCTCTGGGGTCGTGGTGAGGAGTGAGGGGGCCCAGGGTGGGACTGGACAGGCGTGGCGGCCCTCGGGGCTGGCAGGGAGGAGGGGACCCTGACTCTGGGAGTGAAGACCCGTGCTGGGTGGCCCCGGACAGGCCCTTGCCCTTGCTGAGCCTCTGCTTCTGTGAATTGGGGCCACAGTGACCCTGGTTGGGAACACTGGGGGTCAGACGAGGGCTCCAGGGTGAGCACCGGGCAGACTCAGCGCTGGCGGCTCCTCTGTGCACCTTGGAGCTGATGGTGGAGCCCTGGGTCCCAAGGCACG